GACGCGGGACTCGATCCCAGGACCTCGGGATCATGACCTGAGCCGAAGGCAGTCCCTTAACCGACTGAGCCACCCAGGCGCCCACACCTCATTGTTTTTCTAAAAGTGGAATTACTGAGTCAAAGAGTCAAGTGTAAAATGCTCAGAACACATCAAAAAATCAGTTCACCCCCCCAAAAAATCAGTTTGCTCCCCTGAAAGGCTACATAAAATTAAATATGCATTTGTAGTATATGTGGGACATGCTTTATTATATTTCATCAATTCTGGATATTATGATAGAATTTTTTTTCATTTGTTAACTGAAAAGCAATATTTTAATTTTATTTTGCCTTTCTTGCTCCATATTTCTCTGTTTGGCCAAGTATCGCATCATATTCTTTGCCCATTTTCTATGTTTATCTTTCTTTACTCTTCATATAAGACCATTAACTCTCTGTTTAATGTATGTTGGAAACATTCCCAGTTTTCTGATACTTCTTTAATTTTATGTTTTGTTTTTGCTTTAGCATGGTAGACTTAAAATTTTTATGTAGTAAATTATCAGTGTTTCTTTTGTGTTTTCCTTTGTGTTTAGAAAATCCTTACTTATCCCAAGATCCAATGAATAATTACCCTATATTTTTTGCATTTTAGGACTTTATAATATACGTGGAATTTATTTGGAGATATTATTTGAGTTGGAGAAACAAGTTTCTTTCTGCTTGTAGTAGCAGTGTCATTTTTTAAAATAATCCATGATTTCCCCCATTGATTTTAAGTGCTACCTTTATAATACAATATTTGTTTATAGATGATGGTGTTTGGTTTTGCATTTTGCTAGTGTGAGTAGGATTTTTTTTTTTTTTCTTTTTTCCCCAGCTAGGTATTGCAGATACACAGATAAGCTATGGATTGTTATTAACTTATCATATTATATAGTTCTCTTACTGTTCCCAGTTGATTCTCTTGGATTTTCTGGGTTCAAAATTTTATATGCCAAGATGGTGATTTTGTGTTTTATTTCTAATAGGGTGACTCTAATTGCATTCATTGTTCCAAGCTTCTAGCACAAAGTTAAATGATGGCATTGATAGCAGATATCCTTGTCTTGTTCTTCATTTAATAGTGACCATCATTTTTTTCCCTAGATGTCTCTACTTTAGTTGGAAGATGCCCCAATCTTGTCCACCTAGACTTAAGGTATTTTTTTTTTCATTTATTTATTTTAAAATAAAAATTGAAAAATCATGACTGCTCATTGAAGGAGGAAAGCATCTTAACATGTTGAATTGAAGGAACCAAGCGGTTGGTGATTTCTGTTTTCTCCATCTGAACTGATGCATAGGTTTTGAATCTTCTCTTCTGCTCTGTTCCAGCGATAGTGTCATGCTGAAGAACGACTGCTTTCCAGAATTTTACCAGCTCAACTACCTCCAACATCTCTCACTCAGTCGGTGCTATGATATAATACCTGAAACTTTACTGTAAGTATTTCATTTTCTAGAAGTAGGAGAAGACAGGGGAAAAAAGAGATGTCACTTGGTGTTAATATCTGTTATTATTAACAGCAGATGCTTAAAACTGGAACATCTGGAGGGGAGGTGGGTGGGGGACTGGGGTCACTGGGTGACGGGCATTAAGGGGGGCACGTGATGTGATGAGTGCTGGACGTTGTATGCAACTGATGAATCACTGAACTCCACGTTGAAACTAATGATGTACTATATGTTGGCTAATTGAATTTAAATTAAAAAATAAATAAAACGTGAACATCAATATTGGTGTACCACAAATAGGTTAGGGAAGTCCAGCAAAACAGAAAAACCAAGGTAAAAGTTCTTTGCTTAAAAATATCTTGGAAAGTTGACTGGGATAGTTTACTAAACATTTATTATTTAGCTAGAAGCAGGTTTAAATATTAGAATACCATACTCTAGTATTTGGAAGACTTGCAAAAGGAGAAGACCACTTTTACCTCCAGGGAGCTCAGAGTATAAATGGGGAGGCAGACCCAATGGGGGCTTCCCCCCCTGCCCCACATTTTTCAAATCAACTCCAGTTGATTCTGAAGGGCTCCCTCTGGGCTGAGAGGAAAGTTCTGTAATCTTCTAGAGATGTCTATCCTGGACGGTGGTCAAAGAATGGGAAGAATGGCATCATGTAAACGGTAAATGTCATGAGTCCAGTGCTGTCTTGGAATGGGGGAGACTGAAGTCCAAAAGAGTGAAGTGACTTAATCTGAAGCTATAAAGTAAGTTAATGGCTGAGCTAGGTCTGCATCCTAGGTTTTCTGGACAGATGAAAATAGTCTGTAGCTAATCCAGTAGCTCTTATGAGGGTTAATTTTGTACCTGCTCAGCAACTTTTCACCAAATCAAGGGAGTGCAAAAAGGAGTCTGGTCTTTCTTTTAGAAGGTGCTATTCCCAAGTCATCCTAGGAATAACGCTGTCTATTTATTTTCCTTTCTTTTATCCCCAACGGGCTGGAAAATCCTTCCTCGTGTAGGATGTAAATGTATAGCAGTTTTATTGAAAACAACAAGAAGTCAGTATCTTGAATTTGGCCAGGTGCCCTTCTTATTCCAGCCAGTATGCCCTGATTGAGACTGCTGCCTTCTTGTAGCCCACTCCCCAAATGAAGGGGATTTAGCTTCTGGTTCCTACCAAAGAAGGGTGGTGAATTTGAACAAAGAATTTATGTAGTCCTCGAATGATTGGTTTGGATCTTCTAAGTTAGTTTCAAGAACTAATAAATCAGATACTTAAGCTATACAGGGTTAACTAGTAGAATTAGAGATAGAGAATCCAGTAATAACATTTTTAATTAATCACTTTAATTAATCTTGGGGCTCAGGGGCTCAGCCAGTATCTCATTTGAAAAAGCACTGCCTAAAAGGGACGCCAGTTTTTGCTTCCATGGCTCTTAGACGGTAGGGTGTGAATGCATATACATGGAACACTTATTAAAATCTTGTGCCCTCTAGTATCCAGAACTCCTAGGAGCCTCTAGCGTCCACCAAGAAAGGCGTCTCTGTCATCCGTCTTTCCTGTCCTTGCCATCTGGGCTTCATTACCTGTGCAGTCCCTGGGGACTACAGTGATCAGTCTTTTTTGGTTGCTTTTCTCAAGAGAATCTGTCCCCATGTCTCACTTCTTTCTCTCCAGATAAAGAAGCTAAGCAGGTAATCCCCAAATGTTTTTTCTTGAGCAGAGGCTAAGGGAAGGCTGTGAGCTCTCACAGTTTTAATATCTTTATCCAGTAGGATAATAACACTTGTGGAGTCCTACCTGCAGGCAGTGTGAGTTGGTGGTGGACCTCAGGTCACCTGCGTTTGAACCCTTACTGCCTTGTTGTGACTTGTCTAAACCTTATCTTGAAATAAGAGAAACGGGCAGCAGAGTTTAGTTACAAATCAGACCACCAAAAAAGAATGCAAACAGAGGGGAAAAAAGATGCTCTCCTTGTACTTTAATGTAAAAGAGTATGTTTCTTCAGGCATTATGTAAGTTAGTACACTAGTTAACCTCATGAATCCATGAAGATGAGTTTGCCTACACCCTATCCTTAGAAGTTTCGTAAGATAAAGTGTTATTTTCTCTAACTCCATTCTGGCAGCTGATGTACTCGAAATTCATAGTAAAAATTCTAAGATCCTCAGTAGTAATTTTGAGAAAGCCATTTATGCTAAAGAATTTTTATTTCTCAGAAGTGGGAAAATAAAATTTGAGCGACTTTCTTCTGTAATAGTAGTGCTTTAGAATACTTGGGAAACTCCAGGTTTTTCTTCTACAGGATATGTCCGCATTGTATCTGTTTCCTTCAGCCTGAATTGATCTTATTCCCTATGTCCAAACTTTCTTCTGATTATTCCATATCTCTCGTTCAAGTAAGAAAGCCACACTGGAGGTAATAAACTGATCTGAGATTAGGAGAGACTAAATAAAAAGTCTGTGGTAGGAGAATTTGTAGTTAAGCATTTATAAGATTTTATAAGGAAAACAGGATTGTGTAGTTGAGGTAAGGTGTGAACCTGTGAAAGGGTCTATAAATATCTTTTGTTTACTCAGATGAAACAGATACACAAGACATTATCAGTGTCCTTTTATACTACTTAAATTGGAAATAGTGGCTCTTCAACTATTCATTGCTATTTACTGTCCTTTGGTTGCTCTTCAGTCTAAAGAGATGCTTATAAATTTGTTCTGTTGTGTTGTAGATGACACATGTACTAAGGGGCTTTCAGTGTTTTTTTTGTTTTGTCTCCTTAAACTTTTAAAGGACTTTCTGGCTTTTTGATTCAGATCGCCCACCATCCCATGGTATGCAGCTCACTCCTTTCTCACCTAGGACACCTCAGTGTCTTCTGAGAGTGTTGCTGTCATTTCCTTACGCCCACCAAGGCTCCTTCCTAACGCTGTTGTGAGAACATTTCTTCTGCTCTATCTGCTGTACATCCTTTCCTCACTCCCACCTACAGTGTCTGCTTCTAGTACTGCCTGATACTCTCCACCGTAGAATGACTTACAGTTTGGCTGATTCAGATATCCCAGCACCCAGATTCTCATTACAAAGTTCTCAAATACTCAGATTTCACATAAGAGGGATTTAAGGTTGGGGCAGAATTGCTGTCATCTTAAGTGATGTTGAATATAAACATCTATGTGCTGCGACCTTTCTTTGCACTCCTGTTTCTGTATTCCAGAGGTTAGTTTACTTTAAGAAGAATAGTACTTTGTTTTTCCTGATTTTCTTTTTTTGTCTGTTGTAACCTCCAGATCTTATTGTCCTTTTATGAACACCAAGCATATTTATTTTACTTACATAGTACTTTTATTTTTTAAATTACCCTTCATCTTTATTCAGCTAACATGTATTAAACATCTGTGGTGTTTAATACACTTGTTGAATGTGGAATAAATACATTTAGGGGATAGTGGGGTGACTGGGAGAGTGGGTTGAACGTGGAAAGTCCTAAGGCCAACAGAACAGTTTGAGTTCCGTAAACACGAGGGCAGCATCAAGGCTTGGGAGGGAGAGGGGGTGGAGGGGTGACATAAGCTGAGCTAGGCTTTAGGAAGATGCCTTGGACATTGGTATATAGAATAGGCTGGAAGGAAGAAAGATTGGAGGCCAGATAACAGTTACTATGAGGAAAGTTTGGGGGTTTTTTTTAGTAATTATTGGCAATATGAAAATATAAAGGATGCTTCTAACGCTAGGTCATTGATGTGTTCATTGATCTGCAGTGGGATTTTGTTGATATTCCAAACTAAATATTCCCTTTCCTAAGACTTTGTACTGTGTGTCCCAACCTGGAGCAAATACAGATCAGAGAGATGAATTTCTAAGCACATAGATCTGAGTAAAAGAAGAAAGAATCATTACCAAAAGTATTTACTTTGGGGAAACAGGCTCCCTTTTTTGTGGACCAGAATGTCACTGTTGACAGAGTCGTATTTCACTTAATGGGAAATAGCTGAGAAGAGGATTGGCATATACGTGACCCCCCCCCCCAAAAAAAGTAATATGTTGAGAAGTCAGATGGCTTTTGCCTCTCGTATAAAAGGTGTGACCAATTACTCCTTTTCTCCATCTGCATCCAACTACATAGCCCTATCTAAAGTACCTTAGCAAAGTTGCTGTTAGGTTTTATCACAGGTAATGGACTTATTAAGAAGTTACCTTAACTTCTGCTGCTCATCTTTTGAGAGGAGGAGACTAGTTCAAATAAAGGTCAAGTCCATGCTTTGAAATTACATGTAACCTGTGATGATTCTTTACCATCACTAGCTTCTAGCTTCTCACCACACAGTAACTCCTCTCAATTTAAATCAAGAATGGAGAAGGGAAACAACTATGGTTGGATTTTAAATAAACCTCAGCGTGTTTAGGTGGTGAGAAAACATTTAACAAAATGTGCCTGCGTGGGTCCTAAGGCCATGTTGTCCAAGCTGTGGTCCGTGCTTTCTGGTTTGACTCACCTTTGCTATTTTCTCAGATCATTGATTGTAAATTCTGTTTTCAGTTTGCATTCTATAGACTAGGATACAAATGGTCAAAATTGGGTCATATAACCCTAGTGGATCAGTCACCATAGATACTGCTACTCTGAAAGGTCTCTCTCCTTTCCAGTGAACTTGGAGAAATTCCCACACTAAAAACACTACAAGTTTTTGGAATCGTGCCAGACGGTACCCTTCAACTGTTAAAAGAAGCCCTTCCTCATCTACAGATTAATAGCTCCCATTTCACCAGCATCGCCAGGCCAACCACGGGCAACAAAAAGAACCAGGAGATATGGGGCATCAGATGCCGGCTGACGCTGCAGAAGCCCAGTTGTCTATGAAGTATTTATTGCGGGATGGTGTCCCCTCTTTTCTTTGGAACAGGGAAAATAGGCAGGAAGCCCGCCTGCTGGAGCACTCAGCTATTTTTATTCTTGGTTTTCCCTTTGCCTTCCTTCTGCAAGTATATTAGATGACCATTTGAGAGCGAAAACTATGAAGTTTTGCTTTTTCTAAATAACCAGAAAAGCTCTGGTCACTGCTTTTAGTGCACTTAAGAGCCTAAGTTTAAGGCCTTTTGGAATTTTAGGAGAGCCTATTAATTTCAGGATACCTTAAACAGCAAGATTTGAGCCATCTTTCAAGTGCCCTTCTTATTCAATCTATTTAGAATCAAGCGTAAGAATCACGACCAGCAAATCATTTTCATGATCTATATGGTAACTTTCTTCTATTTAATTTCTCAGTATTGCTTTATGAGACGTAGATTGGTAGAAGTATTTGTATTGTGAACGGAACAAAAGGAGAATCTAGGATAGTAGCATTTTGGCAATCTCTTCTGGAGAGCGAAAAATAGGCCTTTCACCTTTGCCTTTAGGTTTGAAATTAGGTTCATGGAAACAAAAAACCTAAATGAAAAACAACTAACCAATCAGCGGTAAAGAATTGGTACAGCTTTTGAAGGCTCAAGAGGCAATTTTCTATGACGGGTTAATCTGAAGTATCGAAGTTTCCTTCATGTCCTGTGCTCCCAGAATTCCGAATTAGCTGAGGAAACATAACTGTGGTCTTCTGACTTTATGATCAAATGATGTTAACGTGGGTTCTTTAGCTTTTAAGATGACTCGCTATGTTTTAGAAAGGTGGTAGTAGCCAGTCTTTATTCTTGAAATGTTGGCTGGAATGCCAAACTGAAGGTGCCTGCCATTTTCCTTTATTGCCAAGGTTCTTCAAGTTATTTTTATGTTACTCTGGAATCAAGTATTTTAAATTGCCTTCTTAAAAAAAAAAAATTGTCTCCCACAATAATTGTTTGAAAGTCATTGTTGTCTAAAGCTCTTGGACCTAGAGTTCCCTGAGAACTACGTGTTCGTTGACTCAGAAATACACCCTCGAAGTAGGTGTGAGTTCCAAAGCAGTAAAAGACAACTTGAAACTACATAAAAGTTAAGACTCAGGTGTGGAATCTTTGGATAGCAAGTGATTTTTTTTTTTTAATGGTGTCTAGAAGAAAACGGATTAAATTCTACTTAAAAAAAAAACACTAATTTCTTTAAATTGATGACCTTCCCATAGGTTCAAAATGGAACAAAAAGAGCTAAAACCTGTTATTTCTATTAACATTGTTTTTAAATCAGACTTTTCAAATGTTAGAAACAACGATATGAAGTGCCCTGATCTGCTCAGACCTAAGGAAGAACATTTTAAAGTGGCGTTATATGGGAAATGATTATGTTTCAATTTTGTGCTAGTTAAAAAGTGCTAAATATAGTACATGAAATTATTGTTTACAGATTAGTGATGGGGCTGATAGTAGGATCCATTTGGACTGTGATTTCCAGATGCCCTCAAACATACAGTACTTCCAAACTCAAGTCTAGCCATAAGCTATTTTGCTAACATGTCAGAGTAATCTGTATTTTTGTATGTGATTTCTACTTTTATAGACCTGTTTTAAAATAAAACACATTTTTATAAAAATGAGTACTTCCGCTACGTTGTATTCCTTTGTTCTTTTTTTCTTAAGTACTGTGGTTAAAATTAGAAAGCACTTGGTATGGTGTGCCTTTGGTATGTATGGTGTGCCCTTGGTCCCAGCCCTCTAGTTAAAGACCTACAAAACTAGCCCTAAAATGGTCTTCTTTGTTCCATCCACTTCATATGGATTTAATTTGACACAAAAAGTCAAATTAAAATGATAGTGTGTAATGCTTTCTGAGAAGGTGCTAAGTACAGACTTACTCTTATCTTTCAAGTGCTTCTAAAATAGTAATAGTTATAAAACATTTGAAATGAGGGTGATACTAATAAAAGGCAGCTGGTAGCACTTTTTAAATACAGACTGGACCAACTTACACTGTATATTTTACTCCTGTTAGGAAGCTATTTGACTAGATCACTCTGGACCTATGAGGTCTTGGGAATTCAATTCCCTTTGAACCATCCATTCAAATGGTACAATAGTGATTCTTGCTGAACATCACCCTTTTTTTTTTGCTGCTTTTTGTTATGCTCTTTATCACTACTACGCTTCCTTCTTTAATTATGAAAAATGTCAAATACGTGCAAAAATTTATGATGAACCTCATCATTCACTTTTGTCATTAACTTATGACCCTATCTCATTTTATCCATCATCGCAACCCCCCACTCACACCCACACCCGCACAAATTACTTTGAAGCAGAATTTATAAATATTTTAGTATATACATCTGAAAGAGATTCTCCTGAATTCTGAAGCATAAATATCAAGATGCTGTTGGAAATTCCCTAGTTGGTCTCCAGTGCTTTCCTTACACGGCTTTGTTTGATGAGGCTCCAGACGTCCGGCGTGATCCACACCTGCATTTGATTGGCACTGTCATAAGTCTCTTAATCTTTGAGTTCTGCAAACCGCCCCCCCTCCCCGCCGGCTTTTTGCCTTACAGTTTATTTATTGAAAAAAACTAGGTTGTCCTGTGTTCTACATTCTGACTTTTGTTGATGTGATCCCTGGAGTGACATATAACAGGTTAATCTGTCCCCTACTTCCAGATTCAGCAGCAAAAAGCCCTAGACCAAGGGTGATTTTTGCCACCCAGGAGACATTTGGTAATATCTGAAAACATTTTTGGTTGTCACAAGCAGAGAGGTGCTGTTGGCATCTAGCTGGGAGAGGCTATGGGTGCTACTAACTAACCATCTTACAATATATAGGACAGCTCCCCACCACAAAGTAGTATCTGGTTCAAAACGTCAGCAGTGCCGGGGTTATGAAACCCTGATCCAAAGGCTGATCTTACAAGTTCTGTTTTTAGCGAATCGATTCTTGCTAGGTGGTATCATGCTCTTCCGTCAGGAGGCACATAACATCTGGCTGTCATTCTTTTTATGTTTCTAACACCTGTCTGTGGCCCTTGATTCCTCCCTCTCCTACACCCACAAGTTCTGGAGATCTGAATTTCTGGATAAAGTAACTTGTATCCCTTCCGTTCTGGTGAACTTGATTTCAGTCCAACGTACTGAAGATCTACAATGTGGAAGATACTGTGTTTGAGCGGCAGCACCTGGGACAGTGCAGAGCATCTGAGGAAGGGCACGAAGTAACCCAGAGACTAGGGAAACTAGAAAGAAACCCCTTTCCACTGGATACCCTAACCCTGCCTGGAACAAACAAAAAGGCAGCCTCCTCTTGTTAACACTCCTCTCCCTTTCCTAAACTAGCCGAATATCCAAGGAAGTCAAAAAAAGACTCTTCATCATGAGGCCAACTCTTTGTGATACGGGTTGAAGCTCTAGACGGGCGATATTTTACTCTGACACTGCATTTAAAGCGGATGAGCTACAATAACCCATTTAAAATCCTCACAGAATCATTTAAAAGATTAATACAATGACTTTTGGAAGAATCATTCCACGAAGAGAAAAGATGTGAAGAGAAGATCTGAGGCAGGAGGAAATAGCTATATAATAAAGTGTAATTACCAAAGATATTTTAAATAGATTATTTTCTGGTGAAAGCCAAGAAGAACCAGCCTAGTATGACAGCGTCATTTAAGCCCTCTTCATCCATTCGAAGAAAGTAACTGTGGGGAAATAAACAGCATTTGTAGTTGGGGGAAATGTCTATTTAGAAGAAGAGTTTGTAAAAACCTGGTTCTCAGATACTTTCCTATTTATTTCAAATATCCATCTATCATATCCCCCCCCACACACACACACCATAAGGAAAGAATGTTAAATTTCAGTATGTTAAAACTATTGTTTATTATTGTAATTAGCAGTTTCTTCCCTAGCTCTGTCAGTCTTTACTCATTGTGCAAAGGTACAGATGAGAACTCATTGTCCCCACTCCTGAGGAACTCACAATCAACTGGTATCAAAAGCTGTATCTTACTCAGATCTCTTCAACAGTTTTTTCAGGATCTCAAATTTTGATTTTATTTTTTTAGCTATTGATATTTGATTTCTAAAAGGAGAAATGGGGGCGCCTGGGTGGTTAAGCGTCCAACTCTTAGTTTCGGCTCAGGTCATGATCTCACGGAGGTGAGATCAAGCACTGCATCGGGTTCTGTGCTCAGTGTGGAGTCTGCTTGTGACTCCCTCTCCCTCTGCCCTTCCCGCCGTTCTTTCTCTCTCTCTGTCTCTCATAAATAAATAAATAAATCTTTTTTAAAAAAGAGAAATGAATGAAATTAGTTCTAACCCATGCCTTTACTATCCTATAAAATAATCAAATTAAAATATTCTTTTCTAATTTTCTCTTTAGTTCCTCCTTAGTCAGTAATTTTCTTGAAAATGTATCTTAAAACCCATGACACTTAAAAAAATACTCTTCTGTTTTCCTGAATGTAGAATACTTAATAATCCTTCTTGTTGACTTATGCCCTAATCCCCTGATGCTTATTTTTAATGTTAAAGAATGCACTGCATTTGAAATAAACAATTCCTCCTTGTAGCTCAGCAATTCATCAGTATATTTACTCTTATCTCTTCCCTCTCATATATAGAATTCTTTTCATTATATCATGTCACGTTATCCCTGGATTTTTTTTGCACAATTGTCTTGGTAGACACTATCCCTAAGTATAATGATGCACATATTACGGTGCATTGGCACAATGGAGTGAATTTTTTAGTGATTTAAATCCTGAATTACCTCTTTTTGTTTTTAAGTCCTTTTTTAAATTGAAGTACAGTTGACATAAGTTTCAGATGTATAGCAGGCTGATTCAACAATTACACATTACAAGTGATCACCATGGTAAGTGTAGTCCCCATGGGTCACCATAGAACATTATTACAGTATTATTGAATAGTCAGTAATATCCCTATGCCATACTTTTCATCTCTATGACTTAATTGATAACAAAGTTCATACCTCTTAATCCCCTTCACCTATTTCGCCCAACCCCCATCCCTCCTCCCCTGTAGCAGCCTACCAGTTTGTTCTCTGTATTTGTGAGTCTCTGTTTTGTTTGGTCGTTTTCTTTTTTAGATTACACATTTAAGTGAAATCATAAGGTACTTGTCATTCTCTGTCTGACTTCTTTTACTTGGCATAATACCCTTTAGGTCTGACCATGTCACAAACGGCAAGATTTCATTTTTATAGGTAAATAATATTTCACTGTATACCACAGCTTTGCCCATTCATCTATTGATGGACACTTAGGTTGCTTCCGTATTTTGGCTATTGTAAATAATGCCGCAGTCAACATAAGGTTGCATATATTTTTTTGAATTAGTGTTTTTGTTTTCTTCAATAAATATTCAGAAGTGGAATTGCTGCATCATATGGCAGTTTTATTTTTAATGAGCCTTCACATTCTTTTCCATAGTGGCTGCATCAATTTACATTCCCACCAACAGTGTACAAGGGTTCCCTTTTCTCCACATCCTTGCCAACACTTGTCTTTTTGAAAATAGCCACTCTGACAGGTGTGAGGTGATATATCATTGTGATTTTAATTTGCAGTTCCCTGATGATGAGTGATGTTGAGCATCTTTTCATGCGTCTTTTGACCATCTGTATGTCGTCTTTGGAAAAATGTCAGTTTGGGTCCTCTGCCCATTTTAATCAGATTATTTTTGGTATTGAGTTGTGTGAGTTCTTTATATATTTTGGATATTAGCCCCTTATCGGATATGTCATTTGCAAATTATCTTCTCCCATTTACTACTTTTTTTTTGACAGTTTCCTTTGTTGTACAAAAGCTTTTTATTTTGATGTAGTTCCATTTGTTTATTTTTGCTTTTGTTGCAGTTGCCTGAGGAAACACATCCAAACAAATACTGCTAAAACCGATGACAAAAGAGTTTACTGCCTATGTTTTCTTTTAGGGGTTTTATGGTTTCAGATCTTTCTTACATTTTAGTCTTTAATCCGTTTTCAAGTTTATTTTTGTCTCAGGTGCAAGAAAGTGCTGTAGTTTTATTCTTCTGCATGTGGCTGTCCAGCTTTTCCTGCACCACTTATTGAAGAGGCTATCTTTTCCCCATTGCATATTCCTGCCTTTGTCATAGATTATAGTTGATCCTTGAACAAAATGGCTTTGAACTTTATGGGACCTCTTATATGCATATTTTTTTAATAAATATATATTGGAAAATTTTTTGGAGACGTGACAATTTGAAAAAATTCTCAGACGAACCATGTAACCTAGAAATATTGAACAAAATTTTAAAAAGATAAGTATGTCATGAGTGCATAAAAATATGTAGACACCAGTCTATTTCATCAGTTACTACCATAAAACAAACACAAACCTATTATAAAATGTTAAAATTTATCAAAGCTTACGTAAGCACACACAGACTGTACATGGTGCCATTTGCAGTTGAGAGAAATGTAAACAATGTAAAGATGCAGTATTAAACCGTAATTGTATAAAATTAACTGTAGTACATACTGTGCTATTGTGGTAAATTTATAGCCACCTTCTGCTGCTATTGCAGTGAACTCAAGGGTTGTGAGTATTCACTTAAATGACCGTGTGAGGCTAATA